TCAGACGGCTGAACAAATACTCATACTGTGTTCATAATGTGGTTGGACTAGTTATTTTGGTAATTATGAGGTAACTACAGTAGTCACATGAAGTCTCGATACTCAGTAAAAATGCATAAACTTCAATCTTTTTGATTTAATATTAGGACTACAAATAAAGTTCGGTAAGTCCTGATCAAAAGCAGCAACCTGAGATTGATAGATCTAATAATCCTGAGGCGTTCGGAGATTTCCATTATTTACGTAAGTTTTAATATGAATTTCCTCTCTATTGATGGCTGCAGTCATCAACTTTTGAGATAAGACTTGATTAGAGTAGGACACTCGCTCTAGAGAAGAGTTCAAGGTCAATGGTTAAAATGAACTAATGATGTCAGTCATTTTTCCATGATTCCCATCAAGTCTCCTGTGGGAATTACCCAAATAATACTTCATAAATCAGGCAAACTAAAATCGTTTGACATAGAATTTTTATTGATGATAGATACATTATGACAAAGGTGCTGTGAACAAAAAGGATGCTTATATATTAAAAATTGTTCCCTTTTTCAATTTTAGCCAAAGCTCAATCTAGAAAACAAGCTTCATATGAGTCACTATTATTATATTCGTCATCAACTGATCAAAAAATGTGTTCATCTTTATCTTTAAATGCAGGTAGTGATGCACAAAGCCCACATATGCCTATGTATATCGTTCTGGTGAAAGGAGCACATAGTGCTATTCTTCCATGACCAATTAATATTTCAATTTTATTTTGTCTGTTTAACCAAACTGATCAAAATCATAATACTCTTGATAAATTTTATTCTGATACAACATCAAGCAGTTTTCAAAGACCAACTTCAGTAAAGAATTCCACCAGTGATATACAAAAAACAAATAAAAAGTAATGTTCAAGCTGATAAAATGTTTAATAAAACTACGGTCGATTTTCATGACATATCAAGACAATTTTCACGAGAGATTGTGAAACTTAATCCTGGGTTGCCGGAACATGTGCAACAAGGTCAAAAACGTACGATAAGAAAACTAAATAAACAAGTTCGAGAAGAATTAAATACAGTAAAGAAACGAAGCATTCAAGAGTCATTGCAATGTGGCTTAATGCCTATGTATTCACTAGTACTATTAAGGGTGACCACTCACTTCGTCGCACGACATTTTGTCGCAGAACATTTTTTTTTTCGTTCTGTTCATTGCATTCCTCTTAATTATTTTTTTTAAAAACATCAAATTGATCAATTTAACTCATCTTCATTTTATGTATCATGCATAACAGAACCATCAACAAAGTGAAACGAAAAAACAAGAAAAAAGAAAAACCAAAGATAAAAGAAGAGAACTAATCTAAAGGGGAAAATAATCTAAAGAACTAATTTGGAGTGCGTTGGATAAGTATCAAGGTCAAAGTCAACTCGTCGTATTCCAAGAATTCCAATAGAATTCAATACTAAGGACTCCGATAAGATCTGATGCTATCAGATAGTCAGATCCATCGCGTCCTGGCAATGTTATCGTTGATCTAGTCAATGTTAAAATTCATTAACATAATGACAAATATAATTATTTTTTGCTGACTTCAACTGTCTCAGAATTACATTTGATTTAGACCTTTCATCGATCTATTTTCCGAATTCAAGTCATACGTTTTAGAGCAATCAATTGTCTGTCCTTGTTGTACCCATATTTTAGAGTTTTTCATTTACTTTATTTTATTTTGACTAGTTATCAAAAAAAAACAGGACTAATTAACAGAAATACAAGAAGCAGAATGAAAGAAAAAATTATTCTGCAACGAACAGAACGAAAGAAATTGTTCTGCGACAAACAGAACGAAAAAAAAAATGTTCTGCGACAAAATGTCGTACGACGGAGTGTTATGCGACGAAGTGATCGTGTGACGAAATGTACTAGCGCCCAGATATAATCTGATTTTGTTATGATAGCCATAGGAAATAAAAAACCTATTCTTCATAGCGATTCAATATCATGACTAAAGAACTAATTGCATGATAAAAATTAATGTTGTGTGTTTTTTTTCTTGAATTTTCTTTGTCATTTTCTTCAGCAAACAAGAAAAGAATGCTAGTCATTAAAAAAGAACAACATAAAGAACAAAATTTAAAAATTTTTCTCATTTTTTTTTTTTTTTTTTTTTTTTATTCTTTCACATTCTTAATATTGCATACATGAGATGCTAGTAGAAACGGAAAGAGAAAAAGAAACGGTTTTTATTCCCATTGGGAATCTTTCAACCTTAGTAGGTTTTTGCCAACAATATAGTTATTTTTCTACCCTCACCTGTCTTCGTATTTCTCTTGTCATTTTTATTAACTGTACGAATATCAAAGGAGAAGAATATTTATTCAGTTATTTTATTACCTTGAAGAAAGCTTGGGAAATTCCCACTTAACTGGTTTATTGGTAACATTTAGTTGTTTTTTTATTTCTCTAATTATTCTTTTTAACGGTACGTACAATCACTTCACCAAGTATCCCAACATCTACAAAGTTTTTTTCTATTTTCTTATTTGCGGATGAGACACAAAAGGTAATATTTTTCTCTATGACGCTAAATAACATCTCGACGTTTCGAAATGCTAATTTAAATAGAAGTGAGAAGTAGTTCATACGAAAAGAATTCGTTTTTAAAAGTCCACATTTATTCTTGTGATACACAAAGTATTCATGTATGTATTTACAATTATAATGTTTGACGCTAGCACTGAATGTCACTCTGAATCATCAGCAACAGGATTTTTTTAATACTTCATATGATAAAAATTATTTGATACTTTGAAGCCATTCGGATACTTTTATGTTTAGACTAGTATAACCGTACATGTCTATACCATAAAAGCTTGTGGAACCTAAAAGATAAGATTCTTTCAAATATTGAAATCTACTTTGTTTTAAATTCGGAGTTATTACTACTAATACAAGAATATTTTGCAATTACTTGATAACCTTGAAGTAAACTTGGAAATTTCCAACCCAATTGTTTTTCTCTTAGCATTCTTTTTCATGGTACGTATATAGAGAATACAAAATTTTGACGAGAAAAGACAAATGTTTTTTAATCAGACTAAGTAGCACATTTATACATATGTCTACGACATAGAAACTGGTAAATATTGAAAGGTAGGACCTTTTCAGAACTGAAGACCCATATTGTCTTAAAATATAGGTTATTATTACAAAAATGAAAATAGTTTGGAATTACTTAATGACGTTGAAGCAAGCTTGGAAGTTCCCCACTTGCCAATGCTACTTCCGTTTTTTTTCTCTTCAGCGTAAAAAATATATATTATTTGCATCTATAAGCAACAAACGTCATTTTTTTTTCTCTGTCCTTCTCAAAATATGTTAGCGATTATCGTTTAAAAAAAAGGTATATGAATATATTCTTATCTTGTATTTTCTCATATCTTGGTCGTCGTTAATTTACGTTTTGAAAAATTAATAGAAATAATGATTCTTTTGTTTTTTTTTTAATTTCAATTTTGTCCTAAACTACATCTATGATGCATGCGTCTTTGTTTTTAGATTTTTTTCATTTTCTATTGTTTAAAAATTTAAATCAATTGAAAAAAATCTTAACTTTTCGCATGTCATCGATCGTAGATGAATTATATAGTATTCATTATCATACAACTATTTTATCGACAGAATCATTGCCAGAAAACAAAGTACTTACTAACCAAGATGAATCACATTTTATTGATCAGCTAACTGATCGATTCAATCCCCCATCTCATTGGGTTTATGGAAATGGTATGAGTTGTTATTAATGTAGAAATATAGTTTTATAAGGGTTTTTTCCTACTATAATAAGTAAATAGATCTTGTTTATGTTTAGTTTGTTCTACCGCTCCTATTGTTATTTGGTGTGGTTCACAATATTCATCCTTGAGAATTGCATTGATTACATATTTAAAAGCAGAAGATATTACTTTGATACTCTTTTCGGTAGAAGAACATTTGCGACAATGGTTGGATTTAAATTCTTCACTAACAATTGCCTCTCTTATTCTTCAACCAGACATTCATATTCAAGAGCTTATTGCTCGAACTCATACTTATGCTGGTATTCGTTCGATTCTTGTCCGTTGTAGAACAACGGATTTAATAGCAATACAACGTTATTCTAGATCTTATCCAAAAGTTGATGGGATTTTTGATGATGATAATCGTCTCCTGATAAAATTAGTGGTTGATCTTGCACTTTTTTCTGAAGAATTAGGAGATCGACAAAGAGAAGACGACAACAATGAAATGGAAGCCCAAAAGAACTATGCTCGAGCACTTAAATTATGTGCACTAGTCAGGAAAATTTAAAATGTATATAAAGTATGAATATATAACTTTATTATACATTAAATAAATTTTGAGAGATATTTGATAATTGATTTCTCCTTTTCAAGATCGAAGAATATTTTCTTTTTTATTAAAATCCTATTAATATGACGTGAACTAACTAGAGTCCTGCACGGGTACTACTTTTCGCACCTGGACCCGGCCCGGCTCATTTTTTTCAAACCCGGAATCCGACCGGACCCGGTCATCTTCCACCCGGAACCGAACCGGACCCGGATAGCTCTACCCGGTACCCGACCGGACCCGGCCCAGCCTTGAAATAGTCAGCACTTGATTGTTATTGTCAAAATTATATTCACTTTTCAAACTTTTATTTCATATGGCAAAATATACTATTATTTTAATTTCATCAAGTAACAATTTGTACCCGGACCACAGGTCCGGGTCCGATCGGGTGCCGGGTATCCGGCCCCGTTGCAGGACTCTATCCTAGAGTGTAAAATACTTTTACTTGTTAAGATGTCATCGACTACCGGTCGGGTACCGGGTATGCTCAAATTCTGCACCCGACCCGGCATTTTTTTTTATACCCGGCACCCGAACCGACCCGGCAAATTTGTACCCGGACCACAGTTTCGGGTCCGGTCGGGTGCCGGGTACCCGATCCCGTTGCAGGACTCTAGAACTAACATTGAAAATTTGTTTGATTCGAATAAAAATCAAATAAATTTTCTTTTTTTAATTACAAAATTTCTTAGCTTCAGTTTATTCACCAGACAATTTTCCATTTCAAGAAATAGATTCAAATATCTCTCAAATATTTTTTTTTAGAAATAGTTAGGTTTTGCATGAATATGAAGGTTTCATTTCGATTCTTTTTCTAGTTTTTATTTTGCTGAAAACAGTGCTAATTTAGATTAATCTAGCGTGTCTCATATCTAACAAGATTGAAGGATGAAAAAGAAAAATTATTGCGACAATAACTTATGATAAATGAATTCTTCAATTTTTTTAAAGTTAGAAATGAAAATTTTCCTAGATAGATAAGGTAATATTGCTCGTTTATCCCTTCGTTCGAAAAATCCCATAGTTATATTAAATATTAGTTTCGAAATAAGGGCATGTAATGGTTAAATATACCAAATATTTTGTTGTTAGTCAACCAATAGAGTTCAGATAATGTTGTAAGTTACAGTGTGTTAAAGGTATTAGTATAATCCTTAAAAAAGTGAAATAGCTATATGTTAGAACCAGCTGAAACATATCATATTGACTTTCAAAATTTATCGTACAAAATTCAGTTTCTTTTTTTCTCACAGTAATTCCTAAATTCAGAATCTCTAGAATAAGCCAAAGCTAGTTCTTTAGCTCTTAGAACTTCAACATAAAAGTTTCTTTCAATTATATATGGCGATAGAGCAACTAATTTTCTAGAAATATTTTAATTCGACGTTTTTCTTAACTTCATTATTTCTGAACTTCAAAAAAACTTGATTTACAGTTTTTTTTTTGGACGACATGTCTTTTGAGCACCAAAAAAAAGACAATTGAGCACCTAATTAGTTATATGTGAAAAGAGCATCAAAAAATAAGACAAATGAGCACCAAATTAGTTAAGTGTGAAAAGAGCACCGAAAAATAAGACAAATGAGCACCAAATTTATTACATGTGAAATGAGCACCAAAAAATAAGACAATTGAGCACCAAATTCAAACATATGACATAAGAACAACAAATTTGTACATTAATAACAAAAAAAACAAATAGGATACATAATAGATATGCGTACGAAATCAATATACAAAAAAAAAAATGAAAAGCCCATTTTATAATAATAAAACAGATCATACTTTTTTTGTTCAACCTTTTCCTCGTCATTTACCTAAAAGTTCCGAACGAGTTTTATCAGTTAATTCATAATGTTTCAGTAATATTGCTAACCCAACTGAATGTTTGTATAAATATAACTTCGTGCCAGTTGGACATGTACATGATTTGAGTGGAGAAACTAGAAAGCAGGGTGTGGTGTAGGTGTAAGTGTAAGGAGAGGATCTACTCGTGCACCCATATCCACACCCACACCCTTGATTAGCTCTATCGAGCGTTTAGACGATATTCAAAAGTTGATATTCTTTGTGTCACATTTTTTGATTCTTCACAGAAATGTATATTATTATAATTTTCAAGCTTGTCGTATATATACAGCGTTACTCATTTGTGTACCGTAATTTACAAAAAGGAATGAGATTATACAATTTGAGTTGAGCTCGTCACAACTTAGCATCTGTATATATTCGAATAATACTTTGATTCTTTTAAAATAGAATTGATTTATCTCTTTAATATCTTTTTTTTCATTTGGTGCTCAATTGTCTTAATTTTTGGTTCTCATTTCACATGTAATAAATTTGGTGCTCATTTGTCTTATTTTTCGGTGCTCTTTTCACACTTAACTAATTTGGTGCTCATTTGTCTTATTTTTTGGTGCTCTTTTCACATATAACTAATTAGGTGCTCAATTGTCTTTTTTTTTTGGTGCTCAAAAGACATTTTTTCCTTTTTTTTTGCGTAACTGCTAACAATAAATATTTTATAGTTCGTTGGAGAAGCATTCTTCATAAGATACATATAGAAATCCCTTGTCTAAAAACCCTCATACATTGTACTGTTTTTCAAATAGAAAACTAGAGAGGCCGGTAGGATGACAATGCTATTAAATACTTTTTTTTTCTTATAAATAATGCCTCACTATTTTTACATGTGCATGGTTTTGCTGTTGTTATTGTACTTTACGGCTTTATTTCTATCATACAAACATATATCTGTAGTGTTAAAATCATATATATATATATTGTTATATCACTTGTTTGTGGCTATTTAATGATGAATTATTTGTATTTTAGATTATTTGTAAAGTCATATTAGACTAAAATTTTAATATTTTTCTTCTATATATTTGTCAAAACTTATTGTTTTGCATTGTAGTAAGTACTTCCTTTTGCTTTTGTACGCATTTTTATGATTTTGCTTTTATTTATTAGATCTACTTACATGGCTACTGCCTTGAATAGAAGTACTGATATAACCAAGATTCTTGTGCTTGGGCCTAAGATCATTCCAGAGAATATCAAATCTTCGTCTGTTATATTTTTCTTAAATATAATTACAATGATTCAATATGCGTCCAAGCATATTAATGAAGTAGATAAATTTCTATTAATCGTTTCTGGTGATATTCTCTCACTATTACTTGATGATCCAATTTATAATTATCCACAAGTTAAAACAATTTATGTATATTATAGTAATGATCATGATCTGGAACGAGATAAAAATGCCTATCAAATCAAATATGCAAAACTTCGGTTTTTTCATGAAAACGTAAAAACACAAATAATAGGAAAATTAATGGTTGATTATGCTATAAATTCACCAAGATCGATTGAACATGAAACATTAGATAGTGCTGTATCATCGATAGAACAACGTATTAGTACTAAACTGTCAAATATTGTCAGTTGTCATTCACCAAAATCAAATCGGCTTTCTAACACAACGACACATAATTATTCTATCAGAACTATGGAAGAAATTTCATCCCATTCTATATGTTCAAAGTGTAAATTAGTATTTCGTGAGTCTTATCAGTTCAATTGTGGACATCGTACTTGTGAATCATGTACTAGTTTTATAAATAAGTAAGTGTATTTGATTTTTTGATTTTTTATAAAATTGAATTTTAATTTAATTCTATATTTCTTAGTCAAAGAGTCTGTTTAACATGTTTTGAAGTCTCATCCTGGCAAAACGTATATCTAATGATATTATGTGTTATTTTTTCTATCGATTTTTATTGTTTTAGATTCAATCTGATCGTGGTTTTTCTCGAGACATACAACAGAAATTAATATCTTGCTCCATGTGTACTTGGGTTGGATCTTCCGAAATCTATCAAGTATAAAATATAAATAATGCTTTAAACTATGCATTGTAAGTTTTTTATGTTTTTTTTTTTTGTTAGCAACATATCGATCAACAGCATTACAACAGTGAATCTAAGGCTGTCTTGGTCGATGCCTATACTCAACTGGTATGTAGTTAACGAGAGAACTCTTTCTACTAAGAAAGCGCTTTTAAGTTAAGACTACGTTTTTTACTCTGAGAAGAGTTCATGTCCTTAACGCATTTCTATGAAACTACTACATTTTAACGGTATTTTGTGAAGGGGAGCCACAGCAGTCATTTAGAAAATATCATCAAAGTGCATTATCTTCATAACAATCAATTAAGGACACGAACTCTTTTAGATCTACGTAATATACATAGTCTCGATTTAAAAGCAATTTATCAGTGAGAAGAATTTCTTTGTTAAATCTTCAATTTATATAATAAATGCATAACAATTATTTTAGTATGAACAAAACAATCTTGACCAAACTGTAGATACGAGTGGAACACAACAAGATACCATGTCCAATGTTTTTTCTTCTTCATGTAGTATATTTTTACCACATCATAGTAGTATGACTAATAATCAACAACAAATTCATAGTATAATTCGTCATAATCACATATTATTTCAAACTCTTGCTCAAAGTCTCAGTATTAATTATGATTTTATAGCTCAAGAACGTAGATCAATACAACGAATTTTAGATGATGCATTATCTACTTCTTATTGTGGTGAATATATCTGGAAAATAACCGACATTCAACAGAAAATAGGTATTTATTAATGCTGCTTGTAAAATTACCTTCACTTACCTTTTTTTTTCTGGTCTGTATTGTTCAACGATCAGAGTAGACTAACTTGATTGATTTTTCTGTGTGATAAGAATGCAATACAAATAATCTATGCTGTTATTGCTACCTAAGAATTTACTCTATCTTTAGTTTTCTTTTCCATTATATGATCAACTGATTAAAAATAATGAAACTAGCCATAAAATGAGTAAGAAAAGATGTTATCACAGCTTGTAATAATACTGAAATGTAAACTTTATATATTCTCTCTTGATTTATTAATAATGGCACACTTTAATATATGTGAAATGCTAGTAACACAAAGCAGCTTGTTTATATTGATTTATATGTGCTAGAAAACAATGCCAATATATCTATTTCTAAACTTTGAAGAGATACATATTATCCTTTGCATTTACTCGACATTAGTGTTAACTACCAAGCATGTTTGATTGCACGCTATTCTATATTTTGATAAGTTTTTTACAATAAACGTCAAAATGCATTAGAATCTAGAGTGTGATTTATTTTAAACACTAGCGAGAACCCGTGCATACTGCACGGCTCTTATGCCCTTTAACGCATGACCTCACACATTTAACTTTTCATCCGGCAAAATACATACAGACACTCGATATTATGTATATAGATAGATAGCCCTACGGCCTCATACTCTCATATCGCACATATGTTTATAGGCAATATAGCCTTCGACCTTAAAGCCTTACCTCCCTATTGCCTTACTCAGTTCAAGGCCTATGGGTATCACAATATAATAGCCCTTGCTGGCCAATCAGTACCCCGCTAGGATAGCCCTTGAGGACCTATGAGTAACCCATAGGATAGCCCTTGGGGACTAATGGGTACCTCCATATAATAGGCCTTGGAAACCTATGGGTACCCCCATAGGATAACCCTGAAGGACAGATGGGTATCCCCACAGGATAGCCCTTGAGGACCTACGGGTACCCCCACATAATAGCCCTTGCGAACCTATGGGTACTCCCATAGGATAGCCCATGGGGACCTACGGGTACCCCCACATAATAGCCCTTGCGAACCCATGGGTACCCCCATCGGATAGCCCTTCAGGACCTACGGGTACCCCCACATAATAGCCCTTGAGAACCTATGGGTACCCCCATCGGATAGTCCATGAGGACCTATTGGTACCCCCATAGGATGGCCCTTGAGGACCTACGGGTACCCCCGTAGGATAGCCCTTGGGGACCTACGGGTACCTCCACATAATAGCCCTTGAGGACCTATGGGTACTGCCCTAGGATAGCCCTTGGGGACCTACCGGTACCCCCCCCCCCCCCATAACAGCTCTAGGGGATCTATGGATACCCCCATCGGATAGCCCTTGAGGACCTACGGGTACTCCCTCATAATAGCCCTTGGGGATCTATAGATACCTCCATCGGATAGCCCTTGAGGACCTATGGGTACCCCACATAATAGCCCTTAGGAATCTATGGGTACCCCCACATAATAGCCCTTGGGGACCAATAGGTACCCCCACATAATAACCCTTGAGAACCCATGGGTACCCCCATAGGATAGCCCTTGAGGACCGATAGGTACCCCCATAGGATAGCGCTTGGGGATCTATGGGTAGCCTCATAGGATAGCTCTTGAGGACCTATGGGTG